ATTAAAAAAAAAGAAAAAATCTACGCGTCTAATATTGAACGTAATTTAAATATAAAATAATCCGCAAAATAAAGCTTTCTCTATAGAAATGAGAGAGTGAAATCTTTCTGCGGGCGTGAATCAAACAAGTGTAGTGCCTTGCAAACATAATAACACGTGATCGTACAAATGAATCGCATTCACGACGACTGCGATTCCCGTTAGCGCAGCAGCGTTGTTTTCGACGGGACTCCGTATCATAACTTTCCACGGCGACACGGTTTAACCGAAGCACGAATTGAAATTTGCCGGTATGTACGGAACGCCAGGAATGCTCGCCGCGATTCTGTCGGTATCCAAGTGTCGGCGAGGGTTGAGGCGAACGTTGAAGCGAAAAGGGGCGGAGGTCCAATCGCGTCAACGAGATTACATCGTAGAATTTCATATCCTTTCGCGCTACCAAAAACAAAATCCCTTCCGGTGTCTCCGTTCACGGCAGGTTTACACGATGTCGGCGAGTTGCATCCGACAGAAAGCTATTTACCTCCCCTAGTAAATATACAAATACGCGCTATTTGCACGGTTACGAAAGTTTTTAGACGGGTCTATATGAAACTGAGGTATGAATCGTGATCATGAAAAATAGCTGTGGTAGAGGTGTGTTATAAGCAGAAAGAGTTTCGTGTGTGTGAAAAGAGATTCTATATTTTGGACAATCGTCTGATTATCAAAGTCTCTGTCCCTGAAAAGCACGTTGGGAAAGTCACGAATTTATCAGTTGCTATAATCGAACCGTTAAATCGACACAAATTGGCTAAAAGATACGACAGACAGAAAGGTAAGACAGACGAGAACGCCTGGCACGACGTTCGCGAGAAGCAAACATCTTCGTGTTGTCGACGTCGTTTCGTGGTTGTTAAAACCGACGTTCTTACAAAGCCGACGTAATGTGCCTCCGAGGCCGCTCCTCAGCCGAGACGCGACATTAACGGCGCATTTCTTGCGCGTCTATGAACTCGTCGGATTACGGCGAGTGACTTTTACCAGACGATTCTGCGCGCGTATAATGTGAAAACGCGGTAGGATGTTCGCGCTAGGTGATATTGGCTAACGAGGGACGAATACCACGCAATGAAAAAGGGGAAGCTCCAGACGTTTTAATCTTCCTAACAGAGCAACGTGATGCGTCGCCGACAAAATATGAATAAGCAAGAGGCCGTAAAATAGAGAGAGATGCGTAATATAAATATGTACACTCCAAAAAAATATAATCTTACTTTTAGCGGGATCCTTTTATATATAATAGCCTCAAAAGATTTTTTTTAAAACCAAAAGGAAAATATTTTAACATGCAAAAAAAGAACTCTGGTTGCAAGACACTATTTCCTGTAATCTCATATTTAAGAGGAAAACTCTTGCTAAAATAATATCCCTTTTCTAATGAAGTAAACTATTAATCGGAAATCTACTAGATTTTATACTAATTTTATTCTGCTTTTAAATCAAGAGAAATATGTTTATTCTTTAAGCAGAATATTTTCTTAGTTAAAAAATTTTTATCATAAACAAGACTTGTAGATAAAAGGTGAAATTCCTCTAATTTTGAGAATATTGTGCTTAAAATATTTTCCTCTTAGTTTCAGAAAAATCCCCTTGAGGCCAAATATATATACGAGGATTCTGCTAAAGATTGTATTTTTTGGGTGTAACTTTTTAAGGCACGTATTTATAGTTGTCACTTGAAACCTGTCTCGTGTGAGATATATACACAGATTTTTTATTTAAGGTTACTTTATATTTTTTAGAGACATTTTTAGATAAACTTAAAGTTAATTTAGATTTTTATTTGGAGTTCCAGGTTTTCAATTGAATTTTTATATATGTGACATTTATATCTGCAATCGCAATTTAACAGAAAGACTCTCACCAAACTCTGAATTTAAATCTAAGTATACAATTGAGAAGAGTTCCAAATAATAACTATTAATACAGGTCTAAATAACTAGTCGCATGTACCATAAAAATGTAGCCTTAATTTTAAAATATTGACAATCGGGTATATGTGGAATTATTCGACATTTTAAAGAAATTAAACGCGCTGGCAAAAATAGATATACATGCAATATGCATTAATATTTATATAGAACATCCCATCCTCAAATTATCGGCCGCATATGCCATAAAACTGCAATCTTGATTTCAAAATATTACTAGCTATGTGTGGAATTATTCAATATTTAAAAAAATTTTAACACATCAAACATAAAAATATCTAAAAAAAACCTACCAACATTTATATAAAATATCTTCCCAAATTGTCGATCACATATATTGCAAAAGTATAACATTCGTTTCGATATATCAATAATTACGTATATGTGAAATTATTTATTATTCCAAAAGAGATAATAAATTTTCACAATGTCCCTCATATTAAAAATCCCTCATATTAAAGAAAATTAATTAAAATCCATATAGGATATCCTCCCAAAATTGCCTCACAATATAATATGCACAATAATATAATATATATGTACATATTTCGGAGGTTATTAGAATTAGAATTTGATAATAGCATATTAGAGACAAGAGAGATAGGCAAATTAGAGAATCCTGATGTAAAAATACGAAGCAACAATTTCTGAATTATAATTAATCAATGCAAGTTCAAAGCTAATATTGATTTTCACAGTGCAGCAGATGATATTGTCTTTTGCTCTTTCGAATGTAATACGCAGTAACCAGCTGATATTGACATAATTATCGTTAATTATCGATAACAAATTTTAACAGTTATCCGCAAATCATTTAATCCCGGCAAAAATTTTAATAGGTGATATATCACCCCATATTCAAGAGAGGAGCTATTAAATCTAATATATATTTGGAGAATAAAGTTTACCTCTCTTTGTAAAAATCAATAACGTACAATGTACACGTAAATGTGAACGCGTGTGAGTCTCAACGCATAAAATTTATGCGATATCGCTGCGCGACTGTTCGAATCTCGATATTTTCGTATTCAGATTTTCAATTCCGCCCAAAACTCCGCAATAGCAAAAAAATATTGTACATTCAGTGCGGATGGAATTAAATTATCTGAATATTCGGCATTAAATAGCAGCGAATCACTATCTCCGCTGTTTTCGTTGAGAATCAATGCGATTTACAAATATGCATGCACTATATCATATAACACACTCTCTGTGCGAGTGAAATTCAACACTCACCATTACTGATGGTCGACGACTAAATCCGCTGACGTCCAGTAAGGCCCAGCCACGTCTAACCAGCATCAAAACTCGTCGGCTGCATCCGCGTCGTCCCGTTGCGTTGATTGCACTTCATTTCCCTACACTGCACTTTCCTACACTCGCGACGCGATTAATGTCCTCGTTTGAACGGCGCTTAACGAATTAACAGTGGCGTCGATGAAAGGCTGTGATTTATTTCGGGTCGAAATCTACGGCTTCGATTAGCGAAACGCGCGACCGGAATCCGCGAGTTCGTCGAACGAATGTCCGTTGTTGCGATACAAATAAATCGCGACACTTCTGGAACACATTTGCGGCGCGATAAATCCGGCTGATTCGCGAGTCGCGTGTTAAAAAAAATCCGATCGCGTTGATCGTGAGAAGTCGACGGCGAAGCTGTGAGTAAACAAAGTAATAACCAGAGGAGGGCGTGATATTTTCACGCGTGGCTTCGCAGCACACCAGCGAAGATTACTCCGCAATCTTGTTGCGAAGAGACTATTCCGCAATCTTGTTGCGAAGACTGCTCCGCAATCTTGTTGCAAAGACTACTCCACAATATCTTGGTGGAGTTCATTTTCGCGAATAATTTCACGAATTTAATTCGGCGATTTTCCACGGAGCGCGCGACGTAAACACGTAAAATCGAGGCGAACAGAAGAAAAAGTAGTCGCAACGACTGCGGGATCTAGTAAGCAGTTTATCAGAGCAGAATGTTAACACGCCTGTGTGCACCTACAGTCCCGCGAATATATATGAATTTAATTAAACAAAATCTATGTTTTCATGTGGAACTTAAGCTCAACATGATCGCGAAATTGAGTAACGCGAACTAAATACACGTAATTTAACGACGCAACAACAAGGTACTGACAATTTAATAGCGTGAGCAAAGTATTATGAATTTAATAACGCGAGCAAAGTACTGACAAATTCGACAATGCCAGCGAAGTACTCGCAATTTGAAAGAGCACAAGCTAGATACTCGTAATTTAACGATGCGAGCAATGTATTGACAAATTCGACAGCAGCAGCGAAATAAATTTGTGATAGTACGAGCATAGCACTCGCAATTTGACAGGACGAGCAAAGCACTCGTAAATTCTGCGAGCGATGGCGCAGCTCTGCTGCGCATTATATGCTACTCGAAACAATTAGGAGCTTGCATTAAATGAATGGCAGCACTGAGAGAAAAGTGCATGGTATTTGTAACTATAATCGCAAAATAAAAATATTATAGTCATGAGAACCATTTTTCTATGCAATGTTGCTATAGTACTAGTGGTAATACTCTTATGTACATACTGCTATTACTATTTCTTTGTTAGAACTACAAGAAAATGTAATGCCGAGGATGACTATTATTTAATGAGATTAACTTATCTTCTCTCAGTGTGTATTAAATCACATACACACACACACACACATTCTACGACTTAAAAAAGTATAATAGCAAATAAGCTATAGAATCTAGAATATAAAACTTGGAATTCTTAATCTAAAATATAAAATGTATGCAAATGTTTGTAAAATATTCAAATTATATTCAATAGATATAAAAATTAGTATTTCGGTACTTGAAACGCATCTATTAAATAGCACAAATATTGGAAAAGAGATTCCCCAATTGTTTCGAGCAGTACATTTTGTTCAATGAAACAAACACACATATAAAATCTATCTAATATAAATCGCATTGATCTCAACAATATTTTCTACGACTAATATTTTCTACTAAAAACTCATCACCTTAAGTGATAATTGTACCTTTGTATGTGACTCACTACGACGTCAGGTTCAACCACCAAACCTATAACACAAATCAGAACCATCTCGTTAATTAAATCCAAAGGGCATAGAGATACGAAAGAATCGGTTACTTGTGTCGTAAAGATTAAGTTTCTCAAACAATTATATCTCGAATTTTGATTCAACTAATAAGAGAACGCAATCTCTATAGTCTGATATTTACCTTTAAGTCGACTCCGCTTTGCCCGAACCGGATCCTCCAGTACAGCATCTGCATTCTCCGGAATCGCACCAGCCGGAACAGTATTCTCCATGTGGCCGCAAATTCCACCAAATCTAGAACAAAGAGAGGTTATCCTGGTTAGTAAGAAAATAACAAAGAAATTATATTTGATATAGGATAATTAAGAGTACTATAGAGACTCAACTATAACTATAAAATCTAAGAAAAATTTACGTTAATCACCTTTGAAATTTCATATTGCTCGCATTGTCCACAGTTTCCAGCACGAATATCGCGAATGTAAAGTATCTCAATATGTCTTACACACAGTGATCTCAAGTCGTGAAACAAAAAGACGAATGAAAGTAATATGATGCGAGTACGACAATATCATAGCTGACGCATATATAAACAGTTTCGAACGACTAAATGCGCCTTACAAAGTTCTAACAATACCCACGACCATACTGAACAATTTAGAAAAGTTAGAAGTAACGCGCGACGCGGCTAGATCCGTTTACCAACACGTCCAAGGCTTTTATGGACTAAGAAAGAGACACAAGTCGACGTGTGTGTTTTAGTCCGCGTAAGGTCAAGTATGATTCGGCACACTATAGTACGTACCACACACGCCGAGTCATACTTGAGCATGCAATGTTTACATTACGTGGTGTTTTTATTTCCTTAACGTCTGCTATATTATGATGTCAACATTATACACTATGTAATATTTCTCTCTAATAAATTTTATAGTATTTTATTCTTATATGCGCGCGCGTCTTAGACATTTATTGCATTTACATATGTACTCTCTCTCTCTCTCTCTCTCTCTCTCTCTCTCTCTCTCTCTCTC